GTGTCACCTGGTCTCGTCAGGCTCAGGATCGATCGAAGTGGAGAAGTTGCCAGCTGCATCGATGGCCTGAAACCAGAGATCGATGAAACAACAGCTGTTCAAGGTATTCAAGGTATATATATATATAAACTGGACAGCCCTTAAAAAATTATATGACTTATTTGTGTGCATAAACATTTCATTTCTCAGATATTCTGCATTTATTATGACTTTGTTTTTCGTTGTGATTACTACTATTTTATCCTTTTCTGTATTTTAATTTATATATATATAAATATATATACCATGAACGTCAAGGCCGTCGATCAGTCAGTGTGAGTATCCCGTTTTAGTGATATAACTGAGATGCTCCCACGCGGCTACACCCTCGTAATGCAAATTATCATTTTATACTAGCATATATTTTCTTACATTATATTTTTAATTATTTGTAGCCAAAAAAACTTTTTTTTGTAATGTTCTGTATTTTATGTAAAATCTTTTCAAACGGCGTTATTTTGCGATAAAATTTGAAGATATTAAACGAGTTTTTGCAAAATTTTGCTAACAAACCCAAAACTCGTTTTAAGACATGCTAGACTGGTTGGGTAAGCTACTGTTGGACTTACGCTGCAGTTAGCAGTTTCATAATGTGTTTTGTAGTGAGTTGCACTTTTTAAGGATGGCCGATTGCGCCCCGGCGACCACATTTTAAAGATTCGTGGTATCACGGTACATGGTATGAGCTCACAACAAGTTGCTACGATCCTCAGGCAGCAGGATGCTGTGGTGGAACTGGTTGTCGGCAGGCCAGCCGCCGCTCCGGATGAGTGTTCGAGCGATGCTCCCAGTAAGTTTCCAGCAGTTCTTTAGGATGAAAGCCATCATCAGGTCCCCTAGGGAAACATTCTCCTCATTAAATTTGTATTTCCCCCTTTTTTTGGCGAAAAGAGCACCGAAGCATTCCGGGTGAGAATCTTTTACCTCGAAGACTAGTATTTCAACACTTGAATACTTGAAACGACCACTACTTCACCACTGACTTTTAGTCAGAACATTCTCCAGTGGCGTAATCAGAGGACTGACTGTGGGTATTTTTTTTCCTTATTTTGCACTGCAAAATAAGGAAAAAAAGTACCCTTATTTTACTCATTTTGTGAGTTAAAAAGACAACCGCTGAGAGCCTCACTAGTGGGTGGTCGCTGTTGACAAATGTTATCGGTCAAGCTACTTCGAACTGCCCCCACCTGTCGTAGGAAATGAAAGATGGAAAGAATTTTGGCATTAATCTACATTATCTTCGCAAAATTTACTATGGAAAAAGTTAATCTTGGATTCCTGACATTTTAAAAACTTATTTCCCACATAATTTATGATCTTTTCATTTCTTATTCAGCGAAATACAAGAAACAAAAATAATTCATCATTCACGCACTGTCAAAACAAGAAAATTTTCAGTAGCTTGAATTCGTTGACTAGCTTCATTTTAGCCTCAGTTTATCAAACTCAGTTAGTAATAAGCTGATTCTTATATTATATTTGTCAGTATGTGTATTCGTTTACGACTACTTGCGAAACTGCTAACGCGCACAGTGAAGTGAAAGTAGCTTTATTGTCGTGTTGAAAATGGGGGTTCGTCTGAACCAGTTGGACAACCAGTTCATTTTGCGATTCAGGTGTTTATTTTAATGGCAGATTGGTACTGGCGCATACTAGAGGGTCAAAACTGATTACAGCTTGCTTCTAAACAACCTTCAAAAGAGAGGACCATTAACAACATTGCAAGCGGGTGGTTTCTCTTAAAACTTCTGCCCTCAGAATACTTACCAGTGCATCCCTCTCTCATAATGAATGATTTTTGAAAGAGCCTTGATCTGCAAGTTTAGGTACCAAATGAGAGGCTGTAGCTGTTTGTGTCAATAGTGAGGGGATAAACAACCTAGGTTGGGCCATGCATTTTTGCACCGGGTTTGAAGTACTCTGTTCATTAACTGCATGAATGGTTGTTGCTTTACACCTCCGTTTGCGGTCACTAGCATAAATCACCATAAATTTTGCATATGGCAAATGTGTAGTTTTCACTTGACGATCGTTCTTTAAAAGTAACTAGTTGTTCAGTGAGAAATTTTTCCGCCAAAGCTTTTAAGTGCCCGCACGTATGAATCACGCATATCTCAAGGCTGAATTTGAAACACTTAAATTGTACTTGGACAAGGAACATTCTCCTAAAATTTCAGCTTCTTAGCTTTTCTGGTTCCCGAGTTAATAAGCCGCTTGTAGCATCCATGTTGATGGGTGCCAATGTAAGGGAAGTGTATATAAATAATTTTCCCGCAGAAATTTTCATACGCCCTTACGTGGGTGCCGCACATTAGCTGGGGACTGAATTTGAAATATTTGAGTCGTGCCTGGATAGGGAATATTCCCCCAAATTTTCAGCCTTCCAGCCTTTCTGGTTACCGAGTTAACAGTCTTCCCGCCGAATCTTTCACGTGCTCTTGCATGAGAACAAGCTCAACTGAAAGATGAATTTGAAGTATTTAAGTTATACTTGAACAAGGAACATTCCCCCCAAATTTCAGCTTTCTAGCTTTTCTGGTCCCCGATTAGCAGTTTTCTCACCAAAACATTCATATGCCCTTACTTGAGTACCATGCATACCTGTAGGCTAAATTTGAAATCTTTAGCCAACACATGCACAGGGAATATCCCAACAAAGTTTCAGTCACTTAGCTCGTGCCGTTCTCGAAATCGCTTCCCCGCCAAAAAATTTGCATATTTTTTAAAGTCTCCGTACGCGGCACCCAGGCGTCCGTGGAAAATGAAATTAAAACGGGAGGGTCGCGCATGGTATGGGCACATGTTCCCAAAGTTTTATCCTTCTAGCCTTTCTGGTTCTCGAGTTGAAACTGGGTGACAAAAGGTGCGGACACAAAGACATACACACAAACACACGCACACACAGACAGCCTCTCCCCAATATGCGTTTTTGCAATTTGCGTATATGCAAAAACGCATAAAAAAGAGGACAATTCATGGTCACGAATAGGTGATAACACTGGTCAGTAGCTCATTCAGCAGCAGGTATCAACAGCTGGTATCCGTCAGTAAAAAAAATTTGGCTCCATCTTCTAATAGCTGATAGCGACTCCTCAGTATGGGCCAGTACCAATTTGCTGTCGAAACGAATCGTAAACGAATTGGTTTTGTCACGGACGGAGTCAAACCTTTGACGTTTAAAACAGCAGTAAGGCCATTTCCCTTGTGCTGTGTTCATTAGCATTATTGGTTATACCAAGAATATCAAAGCCATTCGGGCAGTTAGTGTGCGTATCCCCCTTATTAATGGTACTGCCAAAGAAATATGAGAATTCAGAACGTTTCAGGAATTATCGAGTGCACTTGTTATAAATCCCAGGCAGATTTTCGTGGATTTGTACTACCTCGATCCATAAATTTTAGGAAAAAGGGCTAAGCATTTGCAGCAGTCTAAGTGGGTATGGGTATGTGTATGCTTGTGTATGTGCTGAATTCAGTCCTCTAATATAATTTGCAATATTCAATCGTTCTAGTTCTTCCGGTTCTTGGCTTCTTCCCTTCAAAGCTCTCTCACCTCCCAGTATATTCAATAGTTCATAAATGAAGCCTTCTATTGCAGCTGCTAAAATGTTTTCTTCCTTTTCATTTCAAGGATTTTACCGGACTGCACTAGGACTTACGTTCAAATAAAATAATCACGTATTAGCCTGCTTCCATTTCATACATTTGCAATAACAGAGCAGCACGCTAGAAAGCAGCAGTACATCCGGAAAAAAAAGGACAGGTGCCTCGTCCTGCGAAGGGAGGAAGAGAACAGATGATGAATCTCTTTTTTGCAAAAAATGATAGTATTTTAACATTTTAAGATTGAATAACGTGACATAGCTGTGTCTGATATGTAGGAACATCCCACTGACATCGTTTGGATGGGGTACCCGCAGCAGTTGTGGGTGTTGCCTCGCTCTGCGGTCTTAGGTATGTAAGGTATTTTGAATTAAAAGATTTAAAACGAGGGACGCAGATGAGCTTTTGAACACCCGAGTGATTATGGTTTTCAGTTTCGCTGACACCACAAAAGTCGGCAATGATAAAACGATAACTAGTCGTGAGGTCAAAAGTGTCTGTTAGTTTGCACTGTATTTGCGAATATCAGAAATCTCATTTAACTCGTGTAAAATACTTTACAATTCCCTAGTTCAAAAAAAATGCCGATGTTTCGAAGTTCTCCAAGTATTTTCTGCCCAAATATAAAAATCCTGAATGTGTAGTCGCAAATTTTGTAGAGCTGAAATAACGCTAAACTTGTTGAAAAAGGTGGCCATGTCGCAGTGGGAAGTAAAAGTGCTGCCGTGCAAAAGGTTCGTCATTAAGAGGGGCATCACCCTGACGATTCGTTCAATTGTTTCGGTGGTAAATTGGTACCGACACATGCTAAGTCCTCACATCAACTTGCTTCTAAACAGTGTTCGATAGAGTTTTGCCAAAAGTTGTTTTGCGTTGGCACTTGTTATTGCTTAGACTAGTCCCCTAATTCCTTTTCTCTGGAGAGAGCGAGTATGGAAAGGTTTTCTGTTTCTGATTACTGAATACAAAGTGTGGTGCAAAAATAGCATGTTTTCCAAGTTATAAAGTTTCCGATCCTCACGAAAATTTCTGAATTTTATTCTCAAAAGACTTCACCTAACTGTTCACTACATAACGCTAGATGAGTATGTTTTACTACCATGTGTCTGAGTCGTCATATCCTTTTCAGTTAAAAAGGGTAAGTGAGAAGCTTCTCGACAACGCGCTTGTAGCCTTGCTGTTTTCTACAGTGGAAGGCGCACTCATTTTCATAGTGTGTCACTCTCTAATCTTGCAGCGCTTGTTCAATAACCTTTTGCAAACAGCTGAGATATGCATTATTGCCCGCAATACAGGGTAGTTGACGCTCGTACCGAAAAAGGGTACTACAGAAACATCCACAAAGTAATCATTAGTTTTGTTATTCGCTTTGTATTTGCTTACGTCAAAAACGTCTCATCCTTCCGTGATTAAGTTAGAGCTCATGAGACAAATGTGGCAGACTGTGTTCTCGAAATGTTCCAAGGAGGTCCATAACTGGTCGTACACGACATTTTCTAGTCTGTTTCCACTTCAACAGCACGCTGAAGTGGCTGGGTCAAAATGTTTGAAAAATGACCCTTAAAAACTATCGGAATCGAGCATTCATGGACTGTTTGTTTTGGAACTGCGGAGTTGAATTTTATGGAAGCTACTCGCATGCGTTTGTCACCATAATTCATTTTTGGGTTTATGCAAAAAAGCATGAAAAATGTTGCTGCTTGCGAAATGAAGCTTCAAGCGAAAAAATCGAATCGTCTGGAATTTGACTGTGTTTCCTCGCATTGACAATGAAGAATCTTCGTAGCCAGGGAAGAATGTTTATTTGCAATACCGACTAACGACGAACGAAGCTTGTAATCACTGCGAATAATAGTTAAGATCTAACTTATTTCATGCCGCACACAATCAAGCAGTTATTTTTCTATCCAGAGCTAAACACTTTTTAAGTGCATTTTTGCGTAAATTACAGGACACTGCTGAGTTAAAAAATAGTGGCTCCTCCTGGAATCTTTCTTTTTTGCACGAATCAAAAAAAAAAAAAACACATTCCGAAGCTTGTCGCAACTTTTTTACCAAATCTTCAATTTTTTGTTAATTCGTCGTTAACGTTCTAGTAACTTCCGATTTTCCTCTCCTTTCTTTTTTCCGCATGATTTCTTCACTATCGTTGTAAAGTTGCAGCCAGAATATTTTCACGAATTGAATTTACATAGTTTTTATGCGTTTTT